AGTCTCCCAGGAGAGGGATAGACAGACAATTATGGACAATTATGGACAATTGTATCTTATGTACTTTTCTTATATTTTCTCAAATTTTACTAAGTTGTTCTTATGCACACAACTCTGTAATTTTGGGGTGTGTGTACAGCTTCACCCCCCTAGGTACACATGCATACTCACCCTCCCCTAAAACCCCATGCCCTGGCCCCTTCCCTTCCCAGCCCTTCCTCCCTCCCCATCCTGTCCCTTGGGCAATGAGTATATTTTCCAGAGTCTGAGAGTTATTTTTGCCAGTTTTTTTTAGATTATACTCTACATATAAATATATTAGCAGATATATTACTCTCTGGTAACTGTCTTACTTTCTCACTTAGTGTCATCACCTTAAGATCCATCCATTTTTTTAAAAGATTTATTTATTTATGCACACAAGAACCGGGGTACAGGCCAGATATGCGGGAGGGTGAGACAGAGTAGGGAGCAGAACAGGTAGACGGACTGAAATACACTGCTGAGGGGAGCAGCGGGCGAGACAGGAGAGGTCTGCTGCGCCATGTGAGTAGCTCCTTGGCTGGCCGGGGATTGAACTTGTGCTGCAGAGGCTGCGGACATCTTCATAGCGCTACGCTCAACCACCTGCGCCACCAGGGAGGCCCAAGATCCATCCATTTTGTCCCAAAGCACACTCTTTCATCTTCTTACTAGCAGAGCAGGACTCCCCTAAGTATCTGCTCCACAATCTCTTTTCTCATGGCCTGTCCGATGTGCACTTAGGTTCGCCCCATGACCTGGCTGTTGTGAATAAGGCTGCTGTGCACACAGGAACCTTACAGCTTAATCATGCAAGAAATCACTTACCAGTTTGGAAAATCTGCCTGATGTTAAAAAAAAAAAGTGAGATGAGCGAATTATCTGAGTGAATTATCCCCTAAGTTGAGGCCAAAGTCAGTTTTGATCTGAATTGTCTGTGACTGTGTAGCGGTGGGAAGAATTCTGAATGGCGGTTGGAGCCTGGTGTTCTCTGTTTCCATGGGATCCCCTTAAGCCACTGTGGGGGCCCCGCCTTCTCCTCTATAAAGTGAGAACCCATCCAGGAGCATCAGTGAATTTCACTTTGTGTTTCGTGTGTGAGCACAGCTTCTCTGAGGTTGAAAAACATCAAATTTGTGCAGTTGTGCGCTGGTACAGTCAGTGGGACCCAGGTCATTCTCCTTGGGGGTGCTCGGGGCCTGCTGGGGTGCTAGAGAGACCACCTCATCTGCTGGGTAAGACTGTCTGATTTCTCGGCCTTTAGCCTCCCTGCCTCCTTTCTATGTGGAATCAAGAATCTCGCTCAGCACTCCAGGGAGTTTTAGTTTGGTTGCCTTTATCCATACACTCTGGGACTGGGCTTGGGCCTCTCACCTGGGTTGAAGGAATTCACTGCCCTGGCTCACCACTGGGGCAGGGCAGTGACTGGGCTAATCCCCTCCCAGCCCCAGGCTTCTGGCATCTGTGAGAATGGTCCTCTCCAGCAGAAAGGAGGTTTTATACTGAGCAGAACCTGTGGGGGGAGGTGGAATGAGTGGGGGCTTGTGGATTTTTCTGCCCCCCATTTGTCCATCTGTCCACTGAGGGTGGAGGGTTCTTCTAGGAGGGAGTGTAAAGAGCACACTGGGGGAGCAGTTCAGGAAAGGGGACTATGAAAAAAGACCCCATGGAGCCCTTAGCCAGCATCCCTGGCTCCAGGCTGGCCTGACAGGTATCAAAAGGTGTTTCCCAATCTAAACAGGCTCCCCTCCCACCCCCAGTCCTGAGCCCAACTCAGAGGCCCGGTGTCATTTGGTAACCTGGTGTTTGCTCAGGTGGGGCCGAGGCCCCTGGCCTGGGAGAGGCTGGGGGAAGGGCTGGCTGCTGGCTAGGGAGGGAACAGGCCCTGTCACAGGGAGAGGAGGTTTGGTGAGTGAGATGGGCTGTGGGGCTAGCTGGAGAGGGGATGGGCAGTGGTGGGGTGGGAAAAGTTGGGGAGTCCAGACTTTGTCCTTGACCAACCAGACCAGACAAGCCCAGAGTCCCAGTTAGCTCCCAGTTGCAGAAGGAATGCACAGGTCTGGGCCGGGCCAGAAAAGACAATCTTGGCAGGGTCAGGGCTGTAGTACCTACGCTGTGGCCGGAGGTCTGGGTACTGGGAACTGAAGGTGCAAGTTCTGGCAGGCCACGCCCTGTGGTGCCCTCAAACCTGTGATGCCTCCCACACCCAATTCTGTTGTGCACTTTCATTTAGTGAGCTGGTGCAGACCCTTCCTGCAGGCCTCCTCTGGTCCACCTGGCAGGGACAGGCTGAAACTCCTGGGGCTGAGGGGCATGAAGGAGAGGGCCAGTGGTGACAGAGTCCTTAGATTCCTCCACTGCACCCTCCACCACCCCCTTCTGGGAGAAGTAGGAGAACTGGTCATGGAACCTTGAACAGGGGTGCAAAGTTCCAATTACCACTGACCCTTCTCTAGAGAACCTCACTATCCCTAGGGAGACAGGGCAGGGAATCAGAAGCCAGAAAGGGGACCCCATCAAGAAAGATTGGGGTGGGAGAACAGCTAGCTCTGCTTTTAAAAACATCATCCTTCCCCTTTCCTCTTTAGGATGCTGTTTCTGTATCCTTCACATGAATCAATCAGCAGAGATCTGCCATAGAACTGTGACGTAGAAATGAAAATAGCGCTACAAAACCAATTGAAAGTAGGCAGCACCTCCCCTCTGGAGGGGAGGCTCATAGCAGGAGAGAAACTGTCTGTAGGAATCAGGTGCCAAGCACTGGAAGCTGCCCACTCCCCTCTTCCCTTCATCTTACTGTGCATTTTCTGGAGAAAAGGAAAGAACTGCTCCTACAGGTGCAATTTCAATCCCCTGACCATGACGGCCTCCTCTCTCCCTCCTAGTGCTCCCCACCCATGTCTGCTTCAGTTTTATTTTCAAGTCTAATTTTTGGCCTGTGGGTACAGACCTCCAATCCAATGGCTACCTTTTGTCATAATTCAACCCTGTTATCAGCACTCTTCATGACCACCAAGCAGACAGAACCACAATCGGTTGGGACTTGTTACCTAGATATAGCCTTTCCTCTTCCCGTTGCTGCCCCCAGGCAGCAGCTTGAAAGACTTGCCTGCCTCTTCCCCCACCTGGCAATGTGCACATGGCAAACCATGCTCGTGACTGGGATGAGACTGACCCGACAAGGCAGTGACAGCGATGGGTCCTAACTCTGGTGACTGAATTTTTCATTGTTGTGACTGTATATTGTTCTGGCGCTGCCTTGGAGTTTACTGAAACCCAAGTGCTCACCATGCTTGCTGGTACTTCCTCTGATCAAAGCCTTCCATTAACGCAGGGCATTGTCTCCATACATCCTAGGTGGCCTTTCATCTTCAGATCACAACTGAAAGACCACTGCAGCCCCACCTCTCCACAATCTCCTAACACAAAGGGGGAGAGTGGAAAAAAAAAAAAAATACAAGGATTGGGTCACACCCAAAGGGACTCCCACATGCCCCTGAAGGGTGTGTTAAGGCGGTCTTATGCCAGTGTTGTGTCCAGCTCTTTTTGCCCATTTACTTGAAAATGTCTGCTGGAGTGGAAGCTTGCACATAACTCATTCTGTCTTGGGGGAGAGGGACATACATACCCCTAACCGTTTATCTTAGAAACAAGTGGGTGAACTCTTAACAGAGGTCTTGGCTTGAAGTTTTAGCCATCTTTTTTTTTTTTTTTTTTTTGCATAGAAGAACTGGGGTGTAGGCCAGAGGTGTATGTAGGGTGTGTGTGAGATGATTCACCAGAGACAGAGTGGGGAGCAGAACAGGCAGATTTAGTGAAATACACTGCTGAGGGGAGCAGTGGGTGAGATGTGTGCCAAGTGGGTAGCTCCCTTGGGGGGTGGGGGTAATCAAACTCAGGCCTTTGAGGTGAAAGAGCTGAGACTTAACCCCTAGGCCACCAGGGAGGCCCCAGTTTAAGCAATCTTATTGCTGTAAGTCCTATGCTGGAGTTTGGGACAGCAATTTGTCAGATAAAGGAAATTTACAGCTCTACTTTTATTTGAGTGATTTGGGAAATATTTTGACGGTCAAGGAATGTTTCTTGGGACTCAAACCTGAACCCAGTTTGGGGGAGGGGAACTAAAAACTCTCCATCTTCCACCCATCATCAGCACAAAGCACTAAAGTCAGTTGTGAGTTTTATTAAAAAATAAGCACTATGCCTGGGTTCCATAAAATTTATACATGAATATGTACACAGACACAAATAAAATAATATTAAAAATAAAAATCACGCTGGCTCTCACGTGGCGGTGGTCCTGGCACCCCATACCCATGTTAACTTCCTTGAAAGACACTGCTTGGTCGAGGAGACCGCAGTTGAGGTCACCCAACCACGCGTAAAACTGTAGCCCTCTCGTTGCCTGCAACATTTTCAATTCAGGTTTCAAAAATATATAAATAATTTAATTACAAAACCCAACAGTATTTTTTTTTTTTTATCTTTTGGCACAGTGAAGCATTGGTCAAAAGCAGAGAAAGGACTGAAACTTCTCTGACACCTCTCACACTCAGTCACACCTGCAAATGCCACTTGCGTACACGCAGCAGGGACCCACGGCCCCAGACAGTAGTCATGTCACTTATCGGATGGAACGGTTCCCTGATGTGCTTTTTTGAGGGGACAAATCAATGAAGGTGCGACAAAAGTAGTAGGAAAAAGGGGTAGGGAGGCCGTAGAAGAAGAGTCTTTGGGAGGGAGGGGCGGGCTTAGGCAAGAAACAATAAACGGGGATGAAGAATTGCTTTGGTCCTTCTGGAGAGGTACACGACAAAAGGGGAGGCGGGGAACGGGACTAAGCTTAGACGTCTGTCAAAAATGTTTGCGCTGTAAGGCACGTCTGGTGGGGATTTTTCTTTCCAGGTGTCCGGTCCCCAGGATAGAAAGTGCAAAGCCCCCGGCCTGCGCCCCGCGCGCCCCGCGCGCCCCCCGCGCGCTCAGGCCAGCAGCGTCTCCACCGAGAGCGGCAGGTGCGGGCCGGGGCCGCGGGCCGGGGCGGCGTGCGGGGCGCCGGGCAGCCGCAGGGGGCAGTACAGGTGCGCGCCGCCGCCGGCCGCCGGGCCCCGGAACGCCTTGAGCGGGGCGGCCGCCGCGAGGGGCGCGAGCAGGAGGGGCGGCGCGGGCGGCGGCGCCGGCTCGCCGGGCCCGTAGGCGCAGAGCGGCAGCAGAGCCGCGCCGGGCGCGCCCGGGAGGAGAGCGGGGTACAGCGGCGGGGCGCCCCACGGCAGGCGCGCCCCCGGGGCCGCGTCCCCGTCGCGGCGGCGGCGGAAGGGCTTGCTGAGGATGCTGTCGATGGCGAAGGAGCTGGAGAACTTGCCCGCCGGGCTGGCGCTGGCCTCGGGCCGGGCGGGCGAGCGCGCGCGGGGCGAGGCCGGGGCGGGCGCGGGCGGCGGCGGCCCGGCGGCGCCGGCGGTGCGGGCGGCGGCCTCGTCGGGGGGCAGCGCCGCGCCGGGGGCGGCCGCGCGGTGGCTGAGGCGCTTGCGGCGGCGCCGGAAGACCCCGTCGGCGAAGGTGTACTCGCTGTTGGGGTTGAGCATCCAGTAGTTGTCCTTGCCCCAGGGCCGCGAGGGGTCGCGCAGCACCTTGACGAAGCAGTCGTTGAGCGAGAGGTTGTGGCGCACGGAGTTGCGCCAGCCGGTGTAGCTGCCGCGGAAGAAGGGGAACTTGCCCATGAGGTACTCGTTGATCTCGGCCAGCGTCAGGCGCCCGCCCGCCGAGTCCCGGATGGCCATGGCGATGAGCGCGATGTACGAGTACGGGGGCTTGGGCCGCCGCGTGTACGGCTTGCTGCGCGCGCCCTCGCCGCCGCCCGCGCCCCCGGGGCCGGGCCCCGGCGCGCCGGCCTCGGCGTCCCCGGGCCCCGCCGCCGCCGCCGGGCCCCCCTCCCGGGCGCCCGGGCCGCCGCCCGCGCCCCGCGCGCCCCCGCCGCCGGCCGGCTCCCCCGCGCCCCGCCCGCCGCCGCCGGGCTGTTGGCCGCGCAGTCCCCGTCCGAGCCCAGCGAGTCCTCGCCGGCGGCCGACAGCGGAGACGGCGCGTCGCCGCCCGGGCCCTCCGGCTCGCTCGCGGGCTGCTCCCCGTGGGCCGCGCGGGGGCCCAAGACCTCCAGCTTCATGCCCGCGCGCCCCGGCCCGGCCCGCCGCCCTACCCTTCTCCTCCGCGCCGGCCCGGGCAGTCGCGGGTGGCGGTCGCGGGGCCGGGGCTCCGCGCCCGCCCTTGTCTCCGGGGAGCTCTGTCTGCTGGCGAGAAACAGTCACTTTGCCGGAGGAGCGGCGTCTTCCGCGGGGATTCTCCTCGGAGGGGCTGTGCTTATTGGGTGAACTAAGAGGGGCGGAGAGGGAGCGGCGGGGTGGCTGCTGCCTCCGGTTCCAGGACGGCCGGCGTCGCGGCGGCCGCGTGCGGGGGTGCCGGGCCACTGGCTGGCGCGCGCGGGGCGTGGGGCTTCCTGCCGGAGGGAAGAAGCGTGCGCATCTGCTGTGCGTTCCAGGGAGCGGGGGGCAGTTCTCCGGGGTCCTCCGGGGCCCGAGATGGAGCTGCGGGGGTGCGGGGCAGCCTGGGGGCAGGGTCCGGCGCCGTCAGCCTCGAGCGCCCGCGCAGCCGAGTCTCCTACGCCGGGGCGCCCGCAGCCGCCTTTCCGCCCCCGGCCTCGGGAGCAGCATCTCCGCGTCGGCCCGCCGCGGCTGAGTCTCGCCTCCACCTTCGGCCCGGCCCAATATAACCCAGCGGCGGCTCCGCGGGGCGGAGCCTGGACGCCGACGGCAGAGGGGTGGAGGAAGAGGTGGCCTAGGTGGCCGCGGCTCCCCGGCCGGCCCGCGCACCAGGCCGAGGCCACGCGGCGGCGCGGCCACTGAGGAGCTGCGCGCAGGTTGTTTGTTTTGGGTCCGCCGGCCCCGCCCTCCCCCGCCGGCCAATGGGGAGCGCGCGCGCGGCTGGGTGTGCGCGTGTCTGCGAGGGCGCGGGTGTGCCCGCCGGGCCCCCCGGCTACCGGGCTCAGGTGCGAGTGCCCGGGGCCCCACGGCCCGGGGTGGGGATGGGAGGTTCCGGCGCCCGGAGCGCAAGGGGGCGATTTGGGCGAGTGGGCGTGGCGGGGTGGGAACCACCTGCGGGGGGCACCTGAGGTGCCGCGCGCAGGGCGGCAGGGAGCTGGCGCAGGCCCGGCCCCTCCCGACTTGGAGGTTTGCGTCTCTGCCGGGGGAGACCGCGCTTCTTCAAAAAGGAACTCTCATCACGGAGGAGGTGTGCAAGCCAAGAGGCCGCGCGGGACGCTCCTGGCGGTCACTTCGTAGGGAGCCACCTGTGCGTCCCTTTCCGTGATTTTGAGAGGAATCCTTTATTCTTTTTCCCCTGCAATGAAGAAAATACCGGACTTGAAATTGCAGACGCTTTTTCTGATGACCTTGACTCCTGATCGCGCAGTGGCCTCTGACTTTCACTTTTCTTTTGCCTGCCTTTACCTTTTCCTCTACCTGGCTGGTGGCTTTCTGGGGAAGCCAAGTAATGTTCCCTTCTTCCTTGAGGGCGGCTGCTCCTGGCGCGGGTGCCCGGTTGGATGCCTCCAAACGCCCGACCTCGCTATTCTGGGGTTCCGACGGTGGACAGGAACGACCAGGGAGGGCGTGTCCCGGGGGGAGAGGGCCGAGAGCGCAAAGAGCCTACGGCAATTTCTTTCCACACCTTCTCCTTGAGGACTTTTGCTGTGGTTTCAGCGGCTTGGGTGTGGGACCGCCTGCTTGGCGAGGTACCTTTCTCCGCCCCAGGACTCTCAGGGCCTGCCGCCTACAAGGTGTTAATACTCCAGGGAGGGGGCGCCCTGGCCCCCAGAAGGCCACACTCTTAACCCTTTGCCCTTTTACACAGAGGTTTCCTCCTTTTTCCTGCCTTTGTTGCAAATAGCGACGGAGCTGCGCCTACGTGGGAGCGCACCTTTGATGTTTATTTTATTATTTTCCACCATTTGTGTAGAAAGCGTACACAATCCTCTCTTATCTTTATTCGGGCAGTTTTAAGCACAGTCTGAGTGGGGCGGGCAAAATGACAGACCCATGCAAGGCGTGCTAGTTTTGTGCATGGGGAAATGGCGTTGATTGGCTTGGGGCTGGGCTGGGAGCAGATGGGGAAAGGATTTTCTTCCCAGACCAGAGGGGATCCTGTACTCAGCTGTAGCCCTGGGAGTTGATGGTTCCTGTGCCCTGCAAAGGAGAGTGGACTGGCAGGGAAGGCAGCTTGGTAAAGTGGCATCTGTTTGGCTAGTGATAAAAGACGTGGCAGTGAATGCTACCCTCTTTGAACTCTGGAGGTGGGCAGGACAGGAGGGGGAAGGTCTATTTATGGGGGTGAGAAGGTGGGGGAGGGAGGGTTGGGGTGGAGGGCCCAGGTTGTCTGCCGAGGAGTCCAAGGGAGGTGGCAATGGTACTCCAGGGCTAAGGTGTCCTGCTGACACCCTGGTCCATTTAGAGACCATGTGGGGGAGTGGTCCCACAGTCCCAAAGCCACTCCCAAACAACAAACTTCTGCCCCCAAAGCAGTCTGCACACCTTTGGGTTTATACAGGGTCCCCCTGCAGACCTGGCTCTCACCTGCTCACTTCCTCACTCAGTGCTGTTCTTCATCGGGCCTTCACTCTCCTCCCTCCCTGCAGGCCAGCCAGCTCAGAGGTTGTGCCAGTGGCTGTTGTTAGCCTGGCAGGTTCCAATGAGCTTTGTATGGCTCAGAGAGGGGAGAAAATCGTAAGTTGCCACCCTGAACCCTTAGCAACCCACAGGACTGTGGCACCCTGGAGCTGCTGGTTCACCCTTCTTTGCCTATAAAAACAGGCCCATCAGAATGGACTCCAATTTTTCATTTAGCCACTGCAGCTAATTTTTGGTGTTCGTCTTTTCTTGGGTTGAGTGTAAAGCAGATATATTTCTACCCCAGAGGACTCGCTGGGACATTGGGCTCCAGTAGGTGGGTGTCAGGGGGTGGGAAGGGAATGGGGGCTTTGCCTCTGGTTGAACCCATCCCTCTCCTCTCCACCCCTTGTTTCCCTTTTCTTTCATCCAGCCCCACCCTCTCACCCCTCCCTGAAGCATGAAGCCCCCCTTCCTCCATTCCCCATCTCAGGTGGGGAAGGACATGCCAGTCATTCCGATGGGCAGGCCTTCCTCTGGCCTCTAGGTGAGGTGCAGGTTGGCAGCTGTCTGCAGGTTTGAAGCCCAGAAATGTTTGGGGAAAAGAGAGTGGGGTAGAAGTGGGGGGATGCTCAGCAGGAGGACCTTTACTCTTTCCGGGCTGACTGACAGCTTTGGCAGATCGACAGTGGACTTTGGAAAGTAAGACCCCACATCTGAATGGTGGGCAGCCAGCCACCAGGAACAGATGAAAAGACCCCAAGGAACTAGAATGGAAGCCCCAGTAGGGTAGGAGTTTTCTCTTTTTCCTTTTCTGCTGTGTCCCCGGCCCTGGCCCGGACAGTGCCTGTCCCCTTGGGCTGTTCAGCGAGCCTGCTGCACTCTTAACCCTGAGAAAGCTGGCTGATTCCGAAATTCATTAAGATCAGAAATAAAATTGCTCATTCCCTTTGTGGCTGATGTTGCTGTGTTATCCTCAGCTGTTCCTTTACGCCCGGGAAATTGTTCACCTTTTGCAGAAATAAGAAAAAGTGGCAATGATCTGCACCTGGAACCACTGCGTCACCCAGGCAGGGTACAATTTCAGAGCTCAGTCACTGCAAGAAGCTTCACGTGCAATCTTCTGTTAGCTCATAAGTTTCCCAGAAATGTTTGCAGACTGCCGCTCCCTCATTCTCGATCCTTCTGGGAGGGCCTGCCTCGCATGGGTTAATAATAAATGCTCATAGGTGAGCCTGACCACATACCTGTAGGTATGAAAAATCCGTCCACATCTTTTCCCTTTCCCTTTCCTTTCAGTGGAGATAAGCAGGTCAACTCCAGCAGACGATGAGTTCACAGGCAGGACCTGCTGGCCAACCTAAGGTGGTTTCAGGTCAAGGAAGAGAATGCATCTTCAGACACTAAAAACTAATTTAATTGATGATGGAAACTGTCTGCAGATTTAAGGCTTTCTCTAACTTGGGAGTGTTTCACTGACCCAGTTCCTAAGCTCCGATGTGGGAGGGGAAGAATTTAATTCCTAAAATACCTAAGGGAACTTGGTAAACTGGAAGTTGACTCCCCGTGGAAATATCTGTGACTTGCCTCCGGGATTCAAGTCTACACAGCCTCCTGGCACTAACGATGGAATCAGCTTATCACTCTGGAAGCATCGAGAAGGTGAATTGAAAATTGCCTTCCCATGGGGACTCTGAAGAAGTCAACTTCATAAGCTGTTAATTACTGGAAAGCTCCAGACACAGAACAGATTAATGTTGAGAGGCCCAGGGCAGACGACATGGCTTTGAATCTATGCAGAATCTCTTCTGAAGAGCAGAGGGGTGCCCTGACTTGTGAGCTTGGAAGTCAGCCTGCACGGAAGCTCCTCCTTAAAGATAAAGCCCAGTGCCCTCTCTACCCTGCCTTTTTAAGTGAAAACATTTGGAAAGGCAAGGAGTGCTTTTTCCTCTTCTAACCCACATCTCTGACTCTTCTGTAGAGGCTGAATGCTTGAGAAGAATCCTGCAGAGACTGAGCCTGGGTCTGAGAGTGAATAGGTAGAGCCGGGGTATATTTACACATCTACTCAGAGAATCAGGCTTGTCTACTTGCATGGTGCCACGTTTGTTCCAGCAGACTCCTTCTCAGATTCCGGCCCAGATCATGGCTTCATCAAGGAGGCCCAGGATTTGACCATGTTCAAAACCAAGAACTGTGCTTGAAGTTTCTTTTGAGAAGCAATCAGTAAGAAACTCCTTGGGCTTCCTTTGACCTGGGATTTGTGGTCTGCTTTTGTCCTAGGGAGTGAGGAATGGCAGGGAGGCAGGCTGAATGAGGGTGGAGAAGAAAGAAAGTAGCTAAGCACAAATTGGGGAGGAGAGAACACATGAAGGTATGAAAGACATCATGTGCAGGAAGGCAGGAGTTAGAGATCACCGAGAAAGCTGGCTAATTCTGGAATCCAGAGACAGTCCTGCACTGTGTGTGCAGTTTTATCAAAGAATTAAAGAAAACCCTAGAAAGG